AGAGGAGTGTGGCCAGCAGGTCGAGGGAGGTTATCCTCCCCCTCTACTCTGCCCTGGTGAGACCCCACCTGGAGTACTGCATCCAGTTCTGGGCTCCCTGGTTCAAGAATGATGAGGAACTCCTAGAAAGAGTCCAGAGGAGAGCAACTAGGATGATAAAGGGACTGGAGCACCTCCCCTACGAGGAAGGGCTGAGAGAGTTGGGCTTGTTCAGCCTGAAGAAGAGAAGACGGAGAGGGGACCTCATCAACACATACAAATATCTTAAGGGTGGAAGTCACGAGGACGGAGCCAGACTCTTTGCGGTGGTGTCCAGTGACAGCACAAGGGGCAATGGGTACAAACTGAAACATAAGAGGTTTCAGTTTAATATGAGGAAAAAATTCTTTACTCTGAGGGTGACAGAGCACTGGAAGAGGCTGTCCAGGGGTGTTGTGGAGTCTCCTTCTCTGGAGATATTCAAAGCCCGCCTCGACAAAGTCCTGTGTAACATGCTCTAGGTGAACCTGCTTTAGCAGGGGGGTTGGACTGGATGATCTCCCGAGGTCCCTTCCAACCCTTGCAATTCTGTGAAATTCTCAGCCGGTGAAAATAGCCAGAGCTTCCTTCTAGCCAACACACTTGTGCTCGTTTCCACCACCAGATAATTTGCTCCCGTGTTCCTCCATCAGGAGCTGAATCCCTTCTTTCTTGGGCTGGCAAAGCTGAACGAACTGCAAGGACAGTGATGCTCAGTCGGCTGAAGGCAGGCTTTGGGAACAGCTTTCACATCAGCCCAACCACAGCCCAAAGCGATCAGTTTGCTTCTTGGAGGAGCAGTACCCTGGCTTACAACTAGGAGGAAGCATAATCCATTTTCTCATTTATAGAACTTTATAGCCTTGAAGAGAACTATACCTTGGAATCTCTGCCTTTGCTTGTTTCTTTTTTTTTCCAGTGCAGACATGCAGCGCCAGCATGTTAGCATAAAAGAAGAGCCAGTCTTACTTTCAGGGGTAGATGGACTTACTGTGACTGCGGGTGTAAGGAGCTGGTCAGTTAAGATCAGATTTCATGTTTCAGATACAAAAGAGCAGAGGCAAATGAATGAAAAAGCTCATATCTGAAGACAATAGGAATGAAGGGAAATTGTAAAAAAGCCTCAACCCATTTCCAAGTCCCTTCCCTTCACATAAAAAACATCCAGGCGTAGGAAGCAGAAAGACAATGTATACACCGCTGTCCACTTCGGGATGGTCCCAAAAACTGTGCTTGAGTGCACAGCTGCTATTCAGAGAATGGGGTTTGGGGGGCCACCGAGGGAACTGTGCAGGTTCCCACTCTTCCCTCTCTGAAAGCTTCAGCAAATCCTTCTCCAGCAGCAGCTGAAGTCCAGCCCAGGGGATGTGCAAAGTCCCTTTGCCGCAGCACAGGAGCAGGTCTGCTCCACCCTGCAAGCTGGGGAAGAAGCATGACCCTCTTGCTCCTCAGCAAGGGCTGGGGAGCAGCTCCTCCTGGCACCATGCAAAGGCTCATGATTATTTTGTAGGCCCTGCTTACCTCCCTCTGCTGTGACTTCCCAAACTACACCCAGACAATTTAGGGCTGACCAAACACTCACACTCTTAGAAATTACACAGCACCAGAGATGATCACAAGTAAAAAGGTGATCCCCTGATGGCAATGTCCCCAAAACCATTCCGGTGCAAATGTTTGAAGCATGCACCAACCAGGACAAGAGCTGCAGGTACTGTGCTGCCGGCAGATGTTTTATCACAGGGTAAACCCTGCATGCTGCTGGTCTTTTAAGCCAGACTGTGCCATAAGAAAACACTTTCTGTGAACAATTTAGGCAAGCAAAGGAAACCAGGGTATGTGCAAGCACTGTTCTGCAAGATGTCATGGCACTCCTCGTGCTGATGTCCCACCGCCTGTTGTACTTCTGGTTCAGAACTTGGGGGGTCAGCTCATCTGCATCAGGTTCTTTTTACAAGTTTGATTTTTAAGTGTATATTGAAAAAAGGGTTGTTTTCTACCTCTTGAATTATGCAATCCCTTACTTACAAAACTTTCTGTATGCTAGGCTGTCGACTGTGCCATTTCAGTGACTTGTACAATATCCTTATGGGTTCATTTTCCCATACATACCCCAAAGACCCTTGACATAGTTCTGTTTCCATCTCCTCACAACAGGGTGGTCAGCAATATGTGGTTAAACAGACACAGAGCTTTAGTAAACATGGGTGAACTCTGGAAAAAAAAAAATGCACTAGGAAGGAGGTGAAGTGCAACACCATATCGAACGTGCCACTTGCGTTGTGCCTTTTTTTTTTTAGAGCCATGAAAGCAGCCACGATGATAGCGTTATCTGCTGACTCCACTGCTGATCCAGGCAGCTTTTCCCCTCCCTGCTCACCCTGCACACTGATACAGCACAGTGTAGGTGTGGAAAGAGAAGAAACCTTTCAACCCCATATCCCAAGAATCCACCACCAGCTTCATCTCCTTTTCTATCTGCAGGTAATCCTACCTTGCAAAAGAGCTCAGCGACTCAGGGACTGAGCACCTCATCAATATTAGCAAATCAAACAGCGCCTGGGGATGAACCATGATCACCTGTATTAGTAAGCTGTTCAAGTATTTCATGGCCTGCAATGATTACTGCTCCCCCAAGCCATTCCCGGGCACAGTCCAGAGTCAAGGACCTAATCGCAATTAGCCATCAGCACAGAGCCACCCTCTTTTGAAGTGGACGGTATTTTACTAGCATGGATGGAAGCTCTTCTATGCCAGTTGGTCTCTGTGCCCTGGAGTATCCCTTGGTGTATTTAATTTACTAATACAGAAGCAGTCGGTAACATTTCATGGTTATTTAAATACCTGCTATCTCTATTGACCAAGATACACGCTTCTTGCATCAGACAAGCAGCATGATAGCTACACCGCTAAAAGAAGAAAATAAACCCATCAGAGCAAAGGACCACCCTTTAATGGTGTTAAACTTTGACTGCACTTTAGTGGAGACAAGTTCAGCCACAGACCCACGGGGCTGCTCCAGGGATTTCTCTGGAGGGCTGGTGGTAAGCATTACAGTTGTAACATAATTGTTACTGGCTGTACATGGGAACCAGCACAGCAAAGCTGCCCAAGTGAATTTGGCACTTCTTTTAAAGATACGAGGTCATCCTTGGATTAATAAGTGTTGGAAAACACCACTTCGGGACAAGAAGAAGATGATTTGGAGTGTGCAGTTTTAATCCTGCTGTTAACAAGCTCACAGGTTAAGAGCTAACTACTCATACTAAGGTCTTGAAATTATCCAGGCTGATACAAGCTCCCTATTCCTAACATACATCAAGCTCAGAACAATGGGTTTATTTAAAAATACACTTTATTTACAAGACATTCAAACTTCATTTTGAAAAAAAATTTAACTGTACATAAAACTTTAAGTAATTTTTCACTAATAGTTAATAAAACCACAGTGAGATTTTCCATTCATTGTTTCAGCAATCATAGAAATTACATTTTGGCACATTATTTAAATCACATAATGAACAGAAACACTGGAGGAAACTTTTAAGCAACACAACTCCATAAATGTAACAACTTTATACAGCGACATCCTCACATCAAGGTATCACTGTTCAAATAAAGTATTTAACATAGAAAGTGCTTCCACTGTACAGCAGAGTAAGTAGCAGAACCTATAGAAATCTTCATAGCATTTGAATTATCTTTTCAGAAATGTCCCTTTTATCTGCTTTCCAATTAGTGATCCAAGCTTTCCCCTAGTGTTAATGACTAATGAACCCTAGTGATTTCATTGTACCTTCTCAGACTTAGAAACCAACTTTCTCTAAAAAGCTGATTCAGGTGGAGTGTTTATAAAGAATTAAGATACATATAAATATATATATTTATATCACAGGATGACTACTTAGACACTTTGACACAGGTCACAGGACATAAAATAGTCCTTGGAGTACCCATCCATAGATCTTGGGTGGTGAACTTCACTTTGGGGAAGATTTGGGTGCCAGCATATTCCCTTCAAAGTTTAGAATAAAAGGGAGCATTCGGGATAGTAAGTGTTATAATCATGTAGAGGCAGGGGGACAGAATAGGAAAAACTAAACAAGATCAAAAAATGGCTTGCAATGGTGAAGTGTTTCACATAGCAAAACGAGAAAGCGAGTGAATTTGAATTAAATTGAGTGCAAAAATTAAACCAGTGCATAAAGGAGGTATTTCTAAACTATATTATAGGTACAACACCATGGCCAGGCAGCTAGCAAAGCCATACTGCTTTTATTGAAGAGAAAAAGAATAAGAAAAACATTAAGAGGAAAAAAACCACGGTTGCACTACAAGTCAAAATAGGTATCGTGAAGAACACAAAGAAAAGGAAGTCAACTAAAAATTTTTGGGTAAAAAAGGCAATACTCCTAAAAATAGCATCAGTTATTTTCCTTTACATAGAAAAGCAAAGGCAAGACTTGCATGTAGAGAGTTACAGAAGAAGGGAAAATTAACTATCAAATTGACATGTTCGGTTAAAGGATAACATATGAAAAGATGCCAAAAAATTTAATTCACTTTAAGAAAAGGCTCACAGCTGATGAAGGCCAGCAAATTGCTTTTGCTTTCAATGCCTTGTTAATTTATTCCAGATTTCACTCTTGCTCCAAAACTGTCTGCCAAGGCTAACAAATGTTTCGTTGCCATACAACTAAGTCACATGTGTGACTGGTTATGGATCAGAGGGCCACATAAGCTGGACATCCATTTGAAAATCACCTGTGTTTTAAGCAGATTTCCTTTGCTACAGACAGCGATGGACAGAAAGGGGCAACCACTGCAAGAGAAAATGAATGCCATAATGGTGCAATCAGAAGGGAGTAACCGAAGAGGACAGGGTAGCATGATCAACCTGCAATCATCAGAAATTTTACATTACTGAATTGGAGGGGGGGAAAAAAACAATTAAGCTAGAGAGGCCGGAAAAGAGATTTTTCAGCAGTGCAATACACTACAAAACTGAATTTAGAACAAGCGCCCATAGATAAGGGCAAATACTGAAATATACTGTATTTCAAAATGAGGTAAGCTTACTTCAAGAGAATTAGAAGAGATATGCCAAGAACTGGAGGGAAATAAGCAATACAAAATACACACTGATTGGAATGAAATCTTCTACAGAAGTAGAGAGGGGCCACCCAGTAGAGCCTAGCTGTGACACACTTAAGACAGAGAAGAAACGTATTTTCTTCCAGGACTCAAAGGAAAACAAGGATACCAGGTCAGAAACCTTAGATGGATACCCTGAAAGTCACTACACAGGAAAAAAAAAAAAAGGCTGACCTCATAAATAATATAGCTCTGTTGGTTTTGCGTGCTTAAGTAATAAAGCGACTTTTAAATCTGCTTGTTTTCTAGACCTGAAGACTTCTATAATCCCTGCTATTTTCCTATTTATTCACAGGCAACAATTACAGTACATTCAACCAGACAAGAAAACTGTTTAAGAATGTTACTTCATTGTATTTTCAGGTTACAACACTTTCAAAAACTTGAAAAATAGGTAATCACAGTTTTAACAAACACTGGCAGGATAAAGAAAAAGATGGCCCATTTTGTCAAATGCATCAGTGTTACACATACTAGTTTTCTCCAACTCCAGAGTAAGCAATACTGCCATTCCATCTTTCAACCATTTAATAAAATGTATATATGAAAAGATTACCTGATTTAAGACACAGATGCATAATAATGAAAGGGTGCTTGTTTTAGAGGCTATCTAGGAAGCAAGTTCTCCCATAGACTTTGTTGTTATTTTGGGACCTTTCTATTCCAGTCCTCAAAAAACCTATAAATACATTTGTTATTTACATCTCAACCCTGACATTTAAGCATCATCAGAAATAAAAATAAGGACAAAAAGAACAGAAGAATGGGCTGTCTTACTTTATGCCACACACTTATAAAAGACGGCAATTCTTTAAATGTTTCCTGATTTACACTAATTCATGCAATAACTGCCAAGCAAGACCCTGCTTCTTTCACTTCTGCAGCTGCCAACAGAATCAAACAGACTGGAGGATCAAGCTTTTGATTATACTAACACAGAGTTTAATTTAAAGAATACAAACCTACAATGGAAGGCTGTAAAATATATTAATTCACCCAAGTATCTGTTCGAAAGGGGTAACTACAAATCTAGAAATGTACTATTTAGACTGCAATCACTGCTTCAGTAACTAGCATTTTCCAAGCAGCAAAATAGCTTGCTGTGTGTTTTCATATTCATTGAGTTAATGTAATCGTCCTTATTAATAAGGAGTTGGCTGCTTTCTAACCAGCCTTACAAGGAGGTCCTGGTATTTTCCCAGCCCAGGCAGAAAATCAATTTTCCCCTTTGTTAAGGTGTCACTGAGGTAAAGGCACCACTATTTTATAAAGATGTCCCCATAAAAAAATGAATAGAATAGCCTGCCCAGGCCCCACAGACCACTGAGAGGCTGCTTTCAACAGCAAAATGTATTTGAAAGCTTCTGGAGCTGGTCTGTACTGCCGGTGAGGCTAAGCACTACACTCAGTGTGGATTAGATAGTGGGTTTCCTCCCCCAAAAACCTGGAGAACAGACCTGACCTAAATCCAGCACTGGTGGCAGGGGACATCACCTTGTTTTCCTTAGAGACCCCATTGCGTGCCTTCAAAAAGAGCAAGCAGCAAGGAGATAAAAGGAACTGCTTCACTAAAGATGCTTTGAGGTACACTGTTGGGCTTGGGGAGGAGGTGTGGGGCGGAGGGGAGGGCTTAGACCTTTAAAATAAATCAGCAAGAAATAATCAAGACTAAACAAGGAAAATTTCCCTGTAATTTTTTTTTTAAAGCTTCCTCTAAGCGGTAACACTGCATATAAAACTTCAAAGGTACTCTCTTAATACAATATTAAATTGTGTCTTAATAGAACTGCAGAATTTTAACTGTTCATAATAAACACATTAGCTTATTTATTCAGCATGAATAAAGACAGACACTCGTGTTAAAGATACTGCAATCACCCTGCACAATGATGAATTAAGACCGTGGCTATTATAATTTCTGTTGTCAGGAAAGGGAAGAAAAAAAAAAAAACCAGAAGACTGAGTTGTACAATCACAACAGTGAACAAGATAAAAGTTAACTGGATGACTGCCTGCATTTTAATTTGCTAGAATCAGTACAGACATTAATAAGTATTTCTTTGCTTTCATGACAAGAAGTCTATTCTTTAGCATACTCATCTGTGATTAGGCTAAGACTCCAGTATTACTAGTAGAGAAGCAAGACCAGCTTCTGCTCTGTCCCTAAACACAGGAGCTGATCAAGAAGACAATGAAAGTCAAAATTCCTGAGTGCTTTCCCTCCCCCTTACACCCTCTTAATTTCATTCACAAACCCCACTGGCCAGAAGTACAAGCGTTACTGTTAAACATGAACTGCCTATGCAAAAACAGGGTTTTAAGGATCAGTAAAGCATCTCTACTGAAGTCCTTTATAAATATACAGTACCACAGCCCAGTACAATCATGAACTGGCCACAGGGCTTTCAAGGAACAGCTCGCTGCAGCAGAAAAGGCCAGAGTTTCATTCCCAGTGCCACTGGCCATCAACTGCAAGCATCAGTGCAGACGGCAATACACCCCATCCCCTCTATCAATAGAAATTCACACGTCGGTTGGTAAGGAACTGGGTTTAGTCTGTATCAGAAAAATCTTAGATGAATTCAACACCCTTCATGGAAATATTAATCCTTATTTCAGATACAAGGGGGTTTTTTTTTAGGTGTGTTTTGGTTTACAGCTAAAGCACAAAAATCTTTTTGCCACACCAACTTCAGCTACAACCACCAATGACACCCTTCCCAGCCAGGATACGTTTGTTCTACAAAAACATTACGCAGAGTAGAGGGAATTGCTTAAAGTCGTGTACTGCTCAACTGTGATTTGTCATCAGACGTGCCACAATTTTTCATGTTTTTACTGCTATCCTCTGCCAGTGGGTACTCAATAGGGATTTCAGTATCATTTTTACTTGAACCACTGTCTTTGTGCAACACAGAAAGGCAATTATCGTTCTCGGTATAGCCATTAGTTTTAGCCAGGGGGGGCTCCTGCTGACTGCAGCACAGATGAGAGTCACAAGCTTTTGAGATGCAGGGCGAGCTGCACAGTAGCTGGGAGGTCTTGTGGTCAATGTACTCGGGCTGGATGGTCACAGAATGGATCCCTGCTTCATGGAAAACCTTCCGTATTTTATAAGCAGCATCTTGGTAATCAGTAGGGGTTTGGCACTTGATATGAAGAGTAGCAATATTCTTCCCACCTGCAAGCTCCCAGACATGCACCTCATGAAGGCTGCTAACCCCCGGTACACGAGCTAGTCTGTCAGCTGGAAGACATAAGAGAAAGATATTAGAGGCTTTGGTGTACTGGGTAATTACTAGCTTTCCCATTAAGAGCCCTATCCGAAAGCAGCAGTCTCTGAAATACCTTTTTAAAAAGAACCGTACTTGTAAATTCTGTCTACTCCCAGCTGCCTTCGGCTCAGCCTCCAGATGACCACACAAGCAGGCCACCCTTCCTTTTGGCTTCACCCCGCCCCTCAGGCTCCCTAATGGTAATTTACCCACCATTCATAGAAGCAACATTAGAGCACCACTTCTTTGGCAAAGACCCCACATCTTCTGGTTTCTCTAACCCTGAGCATGGTGGAATTCCAGAAATAACCAGTGCGCTGCCCTACAATTAACCAGCGTGAACAACACCAGAGAGCTACAAAATTAACCAACCTTAATGGCAATGTCTAAGCTGTTTTGGAAGCCTTTTAGAAGAAGCTGCTGCAGGGTTGGGAAATATTGTAATTCAGTGTTGTTTCTTTCACAAACACCCCACACAAAGCATTAACAGCTCAAGACCTGGTATTTTTGATGTATTGTTGGAGTACCACATTCTCAAAATGCATGCTTTAACTAATCCAGAGAGATTTGAGTCATGTTGCTAGGACACAGGCATGTGACTATTTCTCACAGTTCCTGAGAATTTGGAGCTATTATGAGTAAATAATCCAAACATGTCATTCCAGAAATAACATATGCATTGAAATGTATCATTAAAATTAATAGCACTTCAACAACAAATTTTACTTACTCAGTAGTTGCATATTAACACCTTTGGGAACCATCTGCAACAAAATAATTGAGGTCTCCTTGATAAGCGGGAATGCAGAAGACAAGATGATGAACACCATAATTATTGTCAGGCTCGGATCGATGTAGCACTGCCAATTACACGGAGCATTCCCCAGAGGAAGTACATGGAATATTGTAGCAGCAACTACCACGACCACAGATCCAAGCGCGTCTCCCATAACATGCAAAAGAACACCTGGAACAAATGGCAGAATTTCCATTAGCAGGGGTTTTTTGAGGGGTGGAGAGTGAAGCTGCATTTTTCAAGTCTGTTCTACTTTACATGAAAAACACAATATTCCAAGCACTAACATCATAGCCGAAGTTTTCAATAACAGCTTTCAGAACAAACCAGCAAGGGAAATACTGACTCTGAAACCACAGCTGCTGAAGTGGGATGCATTATTAAACACATAGGGTATGCTAGCAACCATGGTCCAACTGCAATGCCATGGCAATGGAAAATGTGTTTGCTTAAATGCCTGCAGATTATTAAGAGATCCTTGGGAGTAGACAGAATTTCTGATGAAAAATTGATGACTAAATCTATCCGTTCTACCCTGGAAGCCCAGAGGGCCACTGACCAGTAGGAGTTATTCTCCTCCATCAGCTTCTATGATGCTGCTGAAATCTGAAAAATTACCTAAGTGAAACCTAAGCCTATTCCCATGGCTCCAAATGCCCTCAAACTCCATTTTTTGGATCAAGTTTCAATTACTAGCCACATTAAACCTCGTCCCACCAACACTACTAGCCCTCAGACCCCCAGAAAAACAGAATCCGGTTTGAGAGTTAGTCAGAGGGACACCACGGTTTAATACGTGCCAGGACTACTCCAAATTGAGAGGAACGCTGGATAGCACTTTTTACATCTATAGATATGGTTTTGCACAAAAGGTAAAGGTACAAAACAGGCTCTTGTAATAATACATTTTTAGCTGCCCTTTCAACTACAATGACCAAAGTAGTCTTCTTGCTATAAAGTTACAATAATCTAAAAGCTTCTTTTTGCTTCCTTTCTTTTTCACTGCTTTACATCATCTTCCCTCTTTCCATCATTGCTCAAATGCACTCCAGTTTCATCAGTATTTACTGTTCAGGCTCGGATTTCAGTCCAACCCATGCCTAATTCATAACATCTCTAAATATATTAAGTTAATTTCTTTCTTATATTCAGAGCCTGTGAGAGAATAAAATGGACCATCTCCCTTTCCCACCTCGATGACAAGCGCTTTCCAGAGCTTCACTCCAATTTAATCGCTTCCTCTGGGCTGGAGAAGCCATAAAAGGCTCCCTCTGAAACTCATCAACAACACAATGAAGAGTTTTGACTCTTCAGTGGTGCTGGACACTGGATTAGCCCTAGAGCCATGCCTGCGCTGCTGCTTCTTGCCAGCTCTTTGCATGAACATTGCTCTTCAGTGTGAGAAATGAAGCTGATGACCACTGGAGTTCCTCTGAATCACTCAAGATAAGAAAGTACAAACTTCCAGGGAGTGCAGCATTTTCTGCTGGAGTTAGGCATGTTCTGCCCCACTTGGCAGGCTCCCACAGGGCTTTACTCCTCCTAACAGTGGTGCAGTGTTTTCTTTTCATTTACAAATAATCCTGATTCAGCATGGGCTATCACCTATTGCATGAACAAGTGGGACAGGCAGGATGCAATTGCCAAGGCAACTAACTGGAGAGCATAGCTTAAAAAGAACAGGAAAACGTTTCAGAAAGTGTCCTCTTGAATTAAGAAAAAAAAGTAAGCATGCCAGAATTATGATAAACGATGAATTGAGCATATGGAATTTGGAAAACGCTTATTTTACATTATTAACATTGTTAATGTGGACATCTTGGTTGCGCATTACATAAAGGGGGCCTAGACAGAAATGAACCTATTTCCCTATAGACCCCCAAGAGCTGTGGTTATAAAACAGAACTGAAAATGAATTTTTAGTAAATAAAGTCGGTATGGTAAGACCATACGTAACACAGAGTTTCCAACAGCTTGTGTTGGAAAGTCTGAACTACCCTGCATATGCTCAAAAGGAATAATTTTACACTACAATAATTAACCCAGTCAGGCAGAATGTCTGGATTCCTGTTCCCACCACTTTTAAATATCAAGGAACCAATTCCTCTGCAGATCCATTTTGTCCATCCATGTTTTTCAGGGAGGCTCTGATTCTATAATGTACAGATTTTTTTGCCAAGTGATTAAGAAGTAAGTATAGCTATATAACTAACTTACAGCAGCAAAGAAAAAACATAGATTTTCAATCAGAATTGTGAAGACACACATTGGTAGCACTGGCTAAAGAAGCGAGGAATATTCGTAAGGACAATACAAATAGATTTTGCAAAGATGACATACTAAAGTTAAAGTAGCACCTCTTTTTAAAAATCAGAGAAGGCAGGTACCTTGATATATATAATATATATATAAATATTTTTATATATACATGTACATATATATATATATAAATAACCGATATAAAACTTCTTATCCTGCAGACATTTTTGAAAGTTTCCAGCATCTTTATGCCTAAGCACTGTCGTTCAGGCAAGGAAGGCCCGCTCTGAAATACGCTCTTTGGTTTCTTATCCTTCTCTCCTCCACCCCCAAAAGCAATGGTTTGCTTTTCCTGCTCCAATAACTTAATGCTATAATACCATAATACCCAGGGACACCAATTTCTAGACATTCAGGAAAGTGTTGTGGCTCTAGCACATGGTTTGATATCCAAAGCATCTTCCCTTACAGACACATTTGTGTAACTCTGAAAACGCTTTTGAGAGACAAGTAGACAAACACACAAAAAACCCAAAACCCCATGTGCCTGACTGCTATGTTGACCTCTTTAAGCTGAACTCACGTGATGCCAACCTACACAACTCTGGAGCAATATCAGATGCTGATAGGTGACCATAAGAAGCCTGAAACTGCCACCCTGTTTCAGCTTTCTGACAGCCCTTTCCTTGAAGGACAAACTCAATGTTTAATATACTCAAAGATACCTGCTTTTGGCTCTGCTCAGAATAGGTATGTAAATGTGGATGTATATAAACACCTACGCAGAGAGGGAGAGAGACACTTGGTTAATTTATTCCTAGAAGTAGCTATACAGTTTCACTCTGCAGATACCCAGAGACCTGCTGGGCTACAACATAAAAAGGGTTGATACCATCACAGGCTCTCTCAGGGAACAGGTTCACAGCTCAAGGACCTGGAAAAACACTGTGCCGAAGCACAGTTTCAGCACCTTCTCCCTCGTGCTGACTACAAAACATTGTTAACCTCGGGATTTCAAAAAATTCAGTTTTCTGCCAAAAAGCATTTTCAAGTTGAAAACTGCTCAATGACTACAGCAGTGACACGCAAAGAAGCGCCTCATAGGTACCTGCTCTACCTTCCTACAAGGCCTCTAGTGGCTTCAGCTTAGTGCAAGAGGCTTGGTCTCCTTTCCAAAAAGTTCAGCTGTACTCTTCTAAAGAATTAAAATCAAAATGTAAACACACTCGGAGCCAAATCAGCATCACACTATTTTGTTATTATCTGTGCTATTCCATACAAGCAAAACCTTTCTGCTAAAGATAACTGGGACCATATAGACAGAAGAGTCCTGGGCTTTTGCTCCATTTCTTACTGATACTTGGGGGGGGGAAAAAAAAAAAAAAAAAAAAAAAGATAGTCTGAAATGGAAACCAGAAAGTGTTTAAAGTTATTATAATATTAGCAGTATACTCCCGTACTGTACCTCTGATGTTCAAGGCTTCGGACTTCCTCTCTTTTTTCTTCTCAGGCCCCTCTTCAGGGCTTTTTTGGTCATTTGGTGAATCACCTGCATTCAAAGAAGAAACGCTGTGTTGTGTATAAGTTCTACAAACAGAAAAAACATCATCCTTCTCAAAACCAACTTATTTCAAAGATGACAAGAAGAAAAAAAAAACCGAAAAAAAACCCAAGCCAAAATATTTTCCACACAGCTCTCTTGAGCAACACCTCCCTCCCCCATCCCAAAGGGACGCCCGGTGTAAAGTACAAGGTGAAAGAGTTGGTGGATGTCTGAGTGCGCCTAGTGAAGTTCCCCAGGGCCCACGGGTGGGCTCACGGCTTCAAAAGGGCCCAGAGGATGGGTCTGGCAGCTCACCAGATCCCGAGGGCAAAGAGGGGGCAGAGAGGGGATGAGGCAAAATGGGGAAGGGCACAAAGGGTGGGGAGGGATGCAGGACATGAGGGGAAGGCTGGGTGGCGAGGCGGCGAGGGTGCAGCCGAAAGGCA